AACTATCTGTTTCTGGTCTTTCTGTGCTTTGTTTTTCACTCTCAGGTGTGAAATTTTGCGATGTATTCTCAACTTTCCAAATTCCCAACTGTTCATTGTCCTGAAATATTTCCACAAGTGTTTCCTCATTCAATTTTTGTTTCCATGGAAGGCTGGTATTCTTTTCTCTTAAAATTTCAGTATTCTCAAAGCACTTCTTTTCCTGGTTCTGAAATTTTACTGTTTCCATTCCCAGTCTCTTCATAGAGACCTCATCCTTCTTCTTTTGATATTTATGCAATACCTTGTGCTCTGTCCCATCACTAGGAGAAACCTAAATAAAACCAAGGATACATTTAGCTAGAACTGAATAAAATGATGTTTCATAATTTTCACTGAAATTAAAGAAAAACATGTTTATTTATATGGTGAAAGGGTTTCAATAAATAGATACCCACAGAAGAAAAATTAGATGTAAACTTCTGAGCTTATAAAAATATAAATTCCCAAGAGTTCAAAAGTTAATACAAGAAGATGGATCTATGAGAGTAAAAGAAAATTATAACTTAAAGAATGTAAGAACTGCCAGGTTCAGGGGCTCATGCTTGTAATACCAGTGTCTCAGGATACTGAGGCAGGAGGATCACAGTTTCAAAGCCAGTCTTCAGCAATTCAGTGAGGCCCTGACTCATTCATAAATAAATAAATAAATAAATGGCTGGGATGCATCTCAGTGGTTGAGCACCCTGGTTCAATTCCTGGTTATAAAAAAAAGAAAAAAAAATATAGATTGAAAAAATCTACATTATACCAGAATGAAAGAACAGATTAAGTGATTAGTTAGTTTGCCAATGTAAAAAAAATTACTTTGCAGAAGAGAAGCAACAGAGAAAACCCCACACATGTAGTTATCTAATACTAGACAAACACAGTGTAAAACATGCATTGGGGAAAGGATAGTTTCCTCAACCAATTGTGCTGGGAAAACTGAAAACCCATATGTCGTAGAAGAAATTTAACCCCTATTTCTCAAAAACAAAGTGGATCAAGGACCTAGATAATAGATAAAAGACCGTAGACCTATTACAAGACTATACAGGCCCAGCACTCCATCTTGTCAGTGTAGGAACTGAATTCCTCAAAAAGTCACTTAAAGCACAAGAAGTAAAATAAAGAATCAATAAATG